AAACAAAAGGATGTTTCATTTTACATTATTTTTGCCAAATATACCATAATCATATATTGGGTAAGCAGGATGTTGTCCCGGTGTCCTGATTAGCATTTTAACCTGCATCTAAAACTGATCAGTCATTCATTTCATTCTGTTTGGTAGAAACTGTTGTGTACAAAAAAAACTTATTTGGCAACATATCAGTCATTACACTTCAATGTAACTTATATTTGAAGTGCGTTTAGTCACTTGAGACATGATAATACACTATATGGAATAAAAGTTCAAGACAGGAAAAAAAATTTTTGATTTATTGAATTCAATTGATATACCAGGGCACTGTTAACCATTACTCCTGTAGTCACTGACATCCAGACCATCAACACCTGCAAAGTTAAAATGATCATCCTCATTCAACTTCCTTCATAATCTGCTCTTGCCTCATCTTTGTGACCTTCTTCAGCCCTACAATCTTCCAAACTGTCTGCAATCACCCAAATCTATGCCCTTATGCATCTGGATGACTTCTGTCCCATTACTAGTGGCCCAACCTTGAGCTGTTATGCTCCTTCTGTAAATTTCATCATCTCCTTAAGATGGACCAACTAAGCATTAGATCATCTGTCTGGTAACCTCTTCCTTGGCTCAGTGTCAACTGTTTGAGAGATTGGAACTTGCAAAGCAACTTGGGATGGATGTTTAATTACCTTCAAAGTGCTATACAAATGCAACTTTGTTTAATGGTCAGGTCAAGACTCTCCTGCTATAAAAAAGTTGCACTGTTCTATCATTACAGGAAAACAAATTTCATATGGGTACATTTTAGCTTTAAAAAGGAGACAGTTGTGTCCAAACTGATGTCAACAGGAAATAGGTGATGTAAGCTCTCCTTGACTACAGGTTCTCCTTTTGGCACCATGAATTATTGAACAGCTAAGCCAGTTTAGGAAAGGCTTAAAGTTGGTCACCATAGGCTGTGGATAAGGAAGGGAGAGGATAAAAGGCATGATTCACTCTTCATTGATCTTTATTGCAAGTGATTGTGAATCTCAGACAAGTACCAATATTAGACTTGGGCATGATATGCCCTGCGGTCAAATTATCTTTCATATGGCCAGTTGAGTGAGATCCTAGGAGATAACTTGAATGATAAACTGCTCTCCAGCTAAGGACGCAAGGGTTCTACTAGAGCAGGGAAAGTCAGAAAACTTATCAGAAGAGACCAGTTAAGATCCAGATAACATTTCATTCAGATAAAGACCAGATGAAGTGGAAGCCGGAGATAGCAGGGAACACAAGTAAAATAAAAGGATAAAAAGATGCCATAGTCCCAGATGACTATAAGCAGCTCTCTTAGGAGAGACACAACTGGTGGAGGTTTAAATTGAGGGTCTACATACCTCATTGCAAGTGGTGAGGTTGAGAAGGTGAGAACTTCATAGGGCCTTCAGCAAGTATGGGCATGTTGTTAGCATCATTATGCATCATGAACCAACTGTCCAGTCATCAGAGCTAACTGACCCCCATAGGGAACACAAATATTCAAAACATTCTAAAACAATTTCAATAGCCTAAGACAGGATCTCCGAAAGTAGGAATTGGGTAATGAAGTTGGGAAGAGGGCTGAAATTTTGGGATCACGAACGCCAAGGCAACAATGGTCAACAAATTAAGCTCCCAAAGATTTTATCCTAAACTGCTTGCCGAGGGATTGCAACAATTTTCCAGCCTCAAAATGGAGTCACATTGGGAAAAACTTTGTGAAACTCTGGTGTGAGCAAGCTAAATAATCTCATTTATTAGGAATGTGAAGATTTGGGCTGATATCGTGCAAGTGATCATGTCTTCAACCAACATGGTATATTCTACAACTATGGGAATCACTGTATATTATTCAAGAGTGGGAAACCGGTTTCGCCCCAGAAAACTAATGCCCTGTAACTGTGTGACATCAGCAATTACAAACCAGGGATCAAACATAGATGTTCCTCAAGCATATAGACCAGTTAGTGGGAATGGAGGACTCTGCAGGCCTCAGCTGAAGCTACCAACCACAGGAAGTTAAAGAAAAGGCTTGCATTTTATAAAACACCTTTCAATGACCTTAACAAGTCCTGAATCACTTTACAGCCAATGAAATATTTGAAGCGTAATTACTGTTGTACAATAGGAAACAGCCAATTTGCACACAGCAAGTTCCCACAAACAGTATTGACAACTAGATGCTTTAAATGGTGTTAGTTGAAGAATGTATATTTTCGAGGTCACTGAGGAGAACTACCATTATTTTTTGAAATAGAACAGCAGGATCTTTGACCCAAAAAGGACAGACATACTTTGGCTCAAGGCTTCATCTGAAAGCAGCCCCTTTGAGTGTACAGCATTCCCTTTATATTGAAGTGGCAGATGCAGAAGAAATGATATGTGAATTCAGATTACAAATTGGAGGAGGCTCAGCTGTGCTGTTGCTTATTGTCTGATACATGTCAAATCTTCCCTAAGTATACAGGATTGACAATCAAAAACAAATCTGGAACAAGCACCATGTGGAGATTTCTTCAATAACAGACCAAAGCGTGCTGTTACCTTTTTGAAATCCAAAGACATATTTCTCCCTCCTCTTCAATATCAAAATTGACATTCTTATTTTTGCCAATCAAATTCCATCCAGAAAATTTCTTCAGTAATGGTCCTTTTCCAAAATATTTCTAAAAATCATCACCACGGTGATTGTGATTGCAGCCAGACTAAGGGTAGCACTCTTGGAAGAGAGCTGCCAAGAAAACAGCAAGCTAATTCTTACTATTGGCACATCTCAAATTTGAAGCATTCCACTTGAATCAATGCCATTCACCTCAAGGCAGGATTTCATTTTATAAAAAGTGGAACAAATCCCCAATACCTGCTTCAACGAGCATCTGCTTTTCAGCAATAATGACATTGGGTAAAAATCAAAATTTTGTGCTATGTCCATACACTCAAACAAACTTGCACTTATACAGCACCCTTAAGTAATCTAAATAACAAAGTTGTTTCACAGGGGACTGTCAAATAAACTCTGGCACCAAGGCACACGAGGACAGTTGACCAAAAGTTTGATCAAACAGGTGTGCCATATCCTAGCAGTGATCACGGAATAGTAACGAGTGTAAATTCAGAAAGATATTAACCTTATACACCTTAATCCATTAGTATTGAAGTACTTTACTTCTGACTCGGCCATGGTTAGGTTATTTAGCAGAGACCAGGGGATGTCATGTTACTCACTGGACGAACATTTTAAGTTCTCAGGAATCCCACTGAAATTTTATTGGGAAACCTGCATGAAACCAACAAATCTCTATTATCAAAGACATTTAGGGATGAGCAACAAATGCTGGGTTTGTCAGCAAAGAAAAGCAGAAAGCATCCTTGCTTGTTCTTTACACATTTCAAAATGTATTACTTGTAAAAGATAATATTGCACGTTACCACTATTTGTGAATAATGATATTTGTACGAGTCAGAAGCAGTCGTAATCAATTTGGGCCCCCAAACCTGCTCTTTCATTTGATAAGATCACAGCTGATCAGATTGTGGCATCTCAAGCATCTACATTTTTAAGGAATATGACTCCAGTTTGTCTAACATTATTTGCAATTTAACCCTTGGAGTCCTGGTATTATTCTGGCAAATTGTGTTAAGCTCCATGAAACATATCTTTCCTGAGATGCTCACAGAATTCCAGGTGTTCTCAGTTCAGCTATTCGTATGACTTTTACTCTTTTTTTTGCGGTGCCAGTTGAGGGACTATTAGTCATTAACCAACAAATAATGTTTACATGATTATTAGTTCATAGAATCCCTACGGTGTGGAAGCAGACCATTTGGTCCATCAAGTCCATACCAACCCTCCAAAGAGCACCCCACTCAAACCTTCCCACTACTCTAGCCTTGCATTTCCCATGGCTGCTCCACCTAGCCTGCACATCCCTGGACACTATGGGCAATTTAGTGTGGCCAATCCACCTAACCTGCACAGCTTTGGACTGTGGGAGGCAACCAGAGCACCCAGAAGAAACATGGAGAAAATGTGCAACCTCCACACAGACAGTCACCCGAGGTAGAAATCGAACCCGGGTCCCTAGGGCTGTGAGGCAGTGGTGCTATCCACGGAGCCACTGTGCAGTTCTGAGAGTACAAATGCATTCTCCATTTGTGATCTTCTAAGATTGTTCTGTGCTAGGTTAATCAGGGATGGACCCAAAGACCTTCTTAGCTCTGTGTGGATTTTAGAAGCTATACTTGCCCACAAAGCCATCAGGGGAGCTCAGGACTTTAGATTCTGTATCCACATTCAATAATCATGTGAATAGAACCCATGCTTTAAGAGCATGTTTAGAGGAAATTTCAGTTTTAATCAAGTTAGCGATGTTAGCTTCATAGGCACAGTCAGCATTTCTTGCCCAACCTTAACTGCCCTTGAGAACACTTGCTGCACCATTTCAGAGGGCAGTTAAAAGACAACCACATTACTGTTGATGCCACATGTAGACCAGAGTGGGTAAGGATGGCAGAATTCCTTCCCTAAAGGACATATACAAACTTAATAGATTTTTCTGCCAGACAACCTGGTAGTTTCATATACACAGTTACTGAGACTAGCTTTTTACTCTAAACTTATTAATTAAATGAATGTTAAATTCCATGATAAGATTTACACCCATTTATTGCAGTATTGGTCTGGCTTCTAGATTACGAGGCAGTAACATTGTCACTTACGCTACCATTCTTTTTTAATGATCGCCTTCAAGCACATTGGATTTCTGACACTAGATGGATGTGTGATCTGCGTTATTCCACTTCCAGTCACGGCACCGTGACCAATAAACTCTGACTGGTGAATTGGAAGTAAACACCAGGCCTTGAAATCAAATTGAGGACTTCCTGTTTGTAAAGCAAACATTTTATTAATTCTTCATACGTACCCAAGTAAAATTTTGTTCTTTTTCTGAAAAACAGAACAAAAATCTGTCTTTTGCAAGAAAAAAAGTATGGTTTATTTGATCAGTATTTACACAGTAAATCTATCTGTGGCCTTTCATTTAAACATTCAGCAAACAGCAAACACCAAAGGTCTCTTTGGCTCAAAAGAAAGTCTACAGGGGCAATGCTGGTCATCGAAGGTTACGCTGCTCTGGTCCCGGTACAAAGTTGAACATCATATGGTTCTGTGGTGGCTGGTAAACCGGCGGCACATTTGGGTGTCCATGGGGACCGTCACGATGATGGTGTGGCGGATGATGGTGGTGTGGAGGCTCAGGAGGATGATGATGGTGACGATGGTGATAGTGATGGTGGTGGCGATGACGCCGGTGGTAGGGCTGCGGGCCAAAGTGCATTGGGTACTCGTGCTCAAAATTAATATGCTGCAGAGCGTCAAAGTTGAAGTGAAAATAGGGAGGCGGTGGAAAGGGGACCTGCAGATGAGGGGGCACAGGTGGGATAGGGGGAAATTCGGGTATCATTGGCGCTGGTCGAGGAAGGTCATTGCGGTTGAAATTCACTCCAGGATGCACTGCTTGACCTCTTTCTTCAATTCTTGCATTCTTGGGAGGAGGATCCTCTGGAGGAGGCCCAATTCTTTTCACAGCTTGCTCTAAAGTAGGTATGACCAAAGCAGAAAATTTGTTACTCCATTAGAAAGCAGGCATTCGCAGGAGAATACACTGTCAGAGTTAGAGCTTTCAGGCTAGATATTTTTTCAGCTTCAGAATCCCTCAAATAAACTTTACATCCCCTGCAATCTGAAATTGACCTTGTTACAGAGATAAACAAACAATACATTGATCCTGCATCATAATGAAGAGAGAGTGAGAGTGCATTTGCGATATTTCATGACCCCTCTGGATCTCCCAAAATTTGCAGTGATTGAGAGGTTACAAAATAAAAGTGGGGAGAAAAAGAACAGCCACGAGTTGCCATTCAGATAGGAATCAATATCATGGGAGAGAATGGGTTTAAAGTACCACAGTCAGTTTCAGGAGCTTGAAAAAAGCAGGACTTCTGAAATTATAATTTTTGCATTATTCATGCATTAGTGAATATATGAATAACTGTATAAGGCCAGGGGCAGTTGGAGGAACATGAAGCAGGAAGGGTTTTGGACCGCTGGGACACTGGGTTAGCAGGCGCTTGTTCACAGTAGAAAGGCATCCAGTGTCAGCTAAGGATATGTTTTTTGTGGAGCAGTTAGCTAATGCTGTGGAGAAATGGTTTAAAAAAAATTGGCAGGAGAATTAGAATCAGGATGAAACATGAAAGGAAAGAACCAATGAGGTTTAAGAGAGGCGAACAACACTAGAAAACAGTTCAGAAATGGAATGGTTCAGAAGGGGACAAATACAAGGCAGGCCAAGATGTATTTTGGACTACATACATGTAAATACATGGAGCATGGTGAATAAAGTTGGTGAGTTGCAGGAATATAGGGCCACAAGGGACTGATGTAGTGCAACAAGAGATCTGGCTCAAGCAAGACGCTTAGGAACTTTATTTGACTATACAATATTCAGGAAAGATAGGGAAGAAAAAAATGGTAGGTAGTAACATTAATCAAATAAACTATAACAGAGTTGGAAAGTAATGATGCAGTTGAGGGACCAGGGGCTCTTTAATCAAAATTAGACAATACAGGAAGAAGCAATTCTGCTACTGGCTGCGTACTTTAGATCATCCAATTCTAAGAGTTTGGAGCACTTGTAGGTAAATTTTAGAAGGATCTAAAAAGTTCAGAGTAGTGAGAATGGAGAACTTCAATTACCTTATCACAGAACAGGATAGCAACAGTATAATGGGAAAAAGGGAGGAATTTCTGAAATGTATACAAGACATCTTTCTTCATCAGTGCATTTCTACCCTAATGGCAACAGAAGCAGTGCTAGATCTAGTCAAAGGGTGGAGTGTGCAAGTGGACTATGTTTCAGTGATCACATCACCAGGTTTGGAATAACTATGAAAAGGACAACTTACAAGTAGGAGTAAAAATACTTAACTGGAGGAGACTAAGAGTTGAAAAAACATCTGACACAGATGGATTAGAGAGTTTGATGAGAGTAGCATGACTGATATACATATAAACTTTGAAAAGGCATTAATAGATCTATTAGCAAAATTAAAGCCCATGGATGACACTGGCATGGTTACAACATTGGTTAAGGGACAGAAAAGAAGGAGTAATGGGGAATCCATTATTTTTCCGACAGTCGGGAGGCATACTGTGGTGTTCCCAGGGGGTCAGCATGAGGAACTCTGCTCCTTTTGATGCTTAAAAGTTGGAAATGTAGTAAACAATAAGGAGAATAGTAACAGATGTTGGTAAGATGTAAGACAGACGAGTGGAATGGCAGACATATGGCAAATGCAATTTAATACCAAGAAATGTGAAGTGAGCCATTTGGTGGAAGAACAAGAGAGGCAATGCAAGAACATAAAGAATTAGGACAAGAGGAGGCCATTTGATCCCCTGAGTCTACTTCCATAAAATTAAAGTTGATCCAATCACGGCCTCAACTTCACTTTCCTGTTTGCACCTGAAAACTCTTCACTCACTTGAAGATCAAATATCTAACTCTGTTTTGAATCTATTCAATGACTCAGCCTCCCCTATTCTCTGGGGAAGAGAATTCCAAATTAAATAATCAGACAGGAAATTTCTCAACTCTGTCCTGAATGAGAGACCCTTTACTCTGAAACCGTGCACCCAAGCAGTTCAGTGTTGGCACTGTTGCCTCACTGTGCCAGGGACTTGGGTTCAATTGCACCCTGGGGCGACTGTCTGTGTGGAGTTTACATACTCCACGTGTCTGCATGGGTTTCCCCCCCCGGTGCTCCAGTTTCCTCCACAGTCCAAAGATGAGGAGATTAGATGGATTGGCCATCCTAAGCTGCTCATAGTCTCCAGGGATGTGCAGGCTAGGTGTATGAGCCATGAGAAATGCAGGGTTACAGGGATAGGATAGGGCATGGGGGTTTGGGTGGGTGGAATGCTCTTTGGAAGGTCAAATGTGGACTCTGGGCCAAATGGCCTGTTTCCATATTGTAAGGGCTCCATGATTCCCTGACAAGGGGCTACATTCTCTCTGCATTTACCATTATTTAGCCAATCTGAGTATCTTTTAATAAGATCACCCTTCATTCTTCTAAACTCCAAACAGTATACACACAACCTGATCAACCTATCTTCATAAGACAACTCACTCCTTCAATTCCAGTAATCAAGCTAGTGAACCCAAACACATTTGTCAAAAATTATTTTTCTGTCATAAAAGAACGCTGACTCTGCTGGACTATATTCTGATTTTCTAAATATACTTAATAACGGATTCCAGCAACTTCCTTCTGACATAACAAGGTGTACAGCTGGATGAACACAGCTGGCCAAGCAGCATCAGAGGAACAGGAAGGCTGACGTTTTGGGCCTAGACCCTTCTTCCGTCAGGTTAGCTGCCTCATGGTGTTCGTTCCCACTCCTTTGTGGAGTGTGAGCATTAAGTTTGCATTTCTCCAATTTTCCTGGGACTTTTTAATAATTTGAGGAATTTTTGAAGATCATGGTCAATACGGTTATTATCTCTGCATTCTAGACTCTACTTTTAAGACCTCGGATGCAGGCCATCAGTGTCGTGGGACTTACCAGCTTTTAGTTTTAGCAGTTTCCCATTTACCTTTTAGGAAAATAATAACAATAGGTCATTTGGCCCCTTGAACCTGTTCTGTCGTTTTATGAAATCTTGGCTGCTTTGGGGCCTAACCGCAAATGGACCTGCCTTTGGTCCATATCCCTTAATAGCTTTGCTCAATAAAAAAATCTCAGATTTAAAACTAACAATTGTCCTAACATCAACTGTCTTTTGTGAAAGAGTTCCAAACCACATTTTGCACGTAGAAATGTTTCCTAACATCTCTTCTGAATGGTCTATCCCTAATTTTCAGACTGTGCACCGTAGTTCTTGAATCTCCAAGCAGTGGAAATAGTTTATTTATCTCTCCTGTTTTTACCTGTTAATATTTTGAAGACTTTGATCAGATTGCCCTTAGTCTTTTAAATTCTAGAGAAAAAATATAATCTGTCCATATAATCACCAAATTCTAGGTATCATTCTTGTAAAACTATATGGTGCACCTTTCAAGGCCAATGGTTGTGGTGCCCAGATCTGCTCACAGTACTCCAAGTGGGGTCTGACCAGTGATATTGATTGTTTTAAGTTCCGTTGATTTTCAACAACTCTTGGGATAACTTAATTGCCTTCCGGCGTAAAGACAGATACAAAGTTCTTGTTTGTCTCTACCATTCCCTTGTTGCTATGAAACACTAGTTAGTCTTAGTTTGTGAAAGCCGTTCAATTCTGGGCACCACACTTTAGAATGATGTAAAATCCTTGCAGTGGGTGCAGAAAATTTATATTGGAATAGCTGAAGCCCTCATCCCTGGAACTATGTGCAGAGACTGAAGAATCTGAGATTGTCTCCTTAGGGCACAGAAGTCTAAATCATGTATGGGTTAATGGAGTAAACGCTTCCATTTCCGGAAGGATCATCAACCACAGAAAGTAGATTGAAGGTGACTGGCAAAAGAACCAGAGGCAACGTTATTATTTTTAAACACTGATGACTTGTACTAAATTGCCTGAAAGGGTGGTGGAAGTAGATTCAGTAGTATCTTTCAAAGACCAATTGGATAAATAGTTGAAGAGCACAAATACCCAAAGACATTTACTGCAGAGAAGTGATCATGGGATAGAAAAAGGCAGTGGGAGTAATTGGGTATCTCTTTCAAACTGCTGGAACAGTCATGTTAGGTCGAATGGCTTCTTTCTGAACTGCAGGATTCTGAGAGTTTAATTATTTCTGAAGTACATTTACTGTTATATTGCATAATACATGGAAGCCAATTTGCACATAGCAAGGCTCCCCTTAGCTGTAATGTTGTGGTCAGATCACCAGTGTTTTGAAGTGTTGATTACGGGGTCAAAATTGGCCTGGATACAGGAGACGTATTCTACTCTTTCACAATTGTAGCAAAGAATGTTTATTGCCCATTTGAGGGGCTAGAGAGGGGATTAGTGTCTGATCTGAAAGACAGTGCTTCTAACAGCATGACTCTCCCCAGCACTGCACTGAGCCTCTAGTTCAAATTATATGCTCAAATTTCTAAGAGGTTTTCTTTACAGTTTATGAGTGAAATACTTTCAGACATATGATTGTAATCATTAAATTGCTTAGTTCTCTTAGAAGCAAACTCACAGTACACGGATGAACAGCAAGTGTAAATTCCCCCACACCCCTCAGCAAAAATTTAAAAAAATGGAAATTACTTTCCATCTAAACAAGGTTTTTTAAAACAGAAGCCCAGTTGCTAGCTTTACTTTCCTTTGGTAATGCAGATTTAAACATGGAAAGATTACTGGCCGGTGACTATGTTACACAAATATACCCTGCTCATCTGTTACGCCAAGATAAAACTCCTACTCATCAATCTATCAAACTAATCAATCAATCAGTCTGACTAGTCAATCACAGAGAGCTCCAGCTTGTCAGTGCTTGGTCCCCCCACCCTCTGTATTCAAACAGTCTGAAGTAGGCATTATCTCAGGTTGAGGATATAGCCTTTAATAGTTGACTAGGAGGCCCTTCAGAATGCTGCCCAATTTTCTTTCTACCATCACATACTTCAGCTGGTGTAACTGCAAAAAATTCCTGTAAGACAACAGATAATTTTCAACCAAATACGGGATGTTCAGATAAATGAATTAATTCTGAGATGATTAAGGAATGACTCAAATAATCTCCTGGCCCTCTCTTCTGAAAAGCAGAATGCCAAAACGCAATGACTTTGAATTGATAGTCTCTACTGGCAAGATAATTCTGGAATTAGTCCTTACACAGGTCATTAAAAAAAGGTTTAAAAATTCATCACAGGCAAAAATTCACCTTTAATGCTTAATCAAATTGGAGATTAGGGCAAATAAATGCACCAATTCCTTCACATGGTGTTGGACAAATTATCAACACTCTTAATTCTGCAATAGAAACTTTGGATCATATCTCGTGCTGTTGGGGTACTATCCTGATTTTCCTTGACTTCCTTCAAGGATCGTCTAATGTGTAATTATCTTCAATCACCATAAAGATCAGAAAGTCATTGTATACTGATCTTACAAAGTTCTATCCTTTCAACAATGAAAGCAAAATCAAAAATAATTTCTATACAACAGTCATTCAAATAAAACACATCACAGTGGGGCAGTATTTTGAGATAGCATGCTCCTTGAAACGAGTATTAATATCCATCATCCAACAAAGTAAAAGATAGGACAAAACCCACAATCTCTCAAATAACTGGTATTGTGAACTACAAAGGCTGAAACAGTTAAATTTGGATTTGCAGAAAGTAGTTTTTGATTGTTAGAGCATCTTACAATTTATTGTATTCATTAGTTGACGTGGCGGGCTTGCTAGCACTGTTAGTACAACTGACGTGATGGTGCAAAATAAGCTTATTTACCACAGATTCAACATTTAAAGTAGTGTACTTCTGCTTCAGATTATTTAAAATTGAATGACAGCACATTCCTTTGCACTATAACTTCTGTAAATTCACTGAATACTAACTGATTGTTGAAAAGAATTTAGTTGAAATGCAAGTTGATGGAAAAGTTAAATTCTGCCTAAACTTTGGGTAAGGGCTTGGTGTTTAATTTAGTCACAATCTGGCAATTTTGTCAGCAAAACCGGTGACATCCGTTTAGGTACTTTTGTGAGGAATCAAACCTATTTGTGCTTCTCAGAAGTCAGACAACCCGACAAAGACTGGCTCGAGAAGAGATACACAAATAGAGTCATACAGTTCCTACAGTGTGGAAACAGGCCATTCGGCCCAACAAGCACACACTGACCCTCCAAAGAGCATCCCACCCAAAAACATTCCCCTACCCCTTCCCTGCAACCCTGTACTTCCCATTGCTAACACATCTAACCTACACATCCCTGAACACTTTGGGCAAATTAGCATGGGCAATTGACCTAATCTGCACATCCTTGGACTGTGGGAGGGAACCGGATCACCCGGCAGAAACCCACGCAGACACAGGGAGAAGGTGCAAACTCCACACAGACAGTCACTCGAGGCTGGAATCAAGCGCTAACCACTGAGCCACCGTGCCGCCTATGTGAGGTAACTTTATACCATTCAATTATCCATGAAACTGTCACTCTTGTTCTGTCGCTACAAATTCAAATTGAACCAAAAATAATTACAACCCAAAACACCCAGCACAAGGAAAAAAAATTATACAAAGGTTATGCAGATAGGGTGAAGTGTGGTAGGCTGCTTGTGTGAAGCAGCAACGCCAACAGGAGTTGGGCCAAGTGACATGTTTTGGTGCCGTAATTTCTATATAACTCACCTCCAATCCTTTTCTTTTGTTCATTTTCAGCTTCACTTTGAATCTCCCGGATGAGTCTCTCGTCATCTTCCTGCCAGAAAATTGAAGGCATTATTGATGGTGGCAGTATTGAGATAGTCACAACACATTCAAAATTATTGTAGCAGTCTGTGATGGATTAATTGGTACAAGCACCTTGTAATTAAACCAGATAAGGTCAGAAGATTTCAACGGTCTGTTGGCAGACATTCTGTTTTCTCTGCTGTTGTCACATACTTTGTTAAAAGTAACATTCCTAGTGGCTACTACCTGCCTGTCAGAGTTAGGAATCAATGAAATCCTCAGAAGCATCATATCATACCCCATTCCATTCTCACCTAAATGGCTCAGCTTATAAACCCATCACGAGGCTTGTGTGAAGCTCGAAATTAAGGTGGATCAAAAGAAAGAGACAGATAGCTAGAAAAACATGCTAGCATTCATACAGTGCATTGCAGCACCTTAAGTCCTTTATAGCCAATTATGTACTTTAAGTGCAGTCACCATTACAATTTGGCAACATGAGAAGGGGCAGAATAAAGACCCCAATGCCAAAATCAATCCCTCAATAATTCAACTAGAACCTTCTATTATTAAACAACAATCTTGTTAGAGGCCAATAATATTTTTAGAGAAATCCAAACACTTCACTTTAACTGATATAAATACACCACAAGACTTCACTTAAAATATTTCATGGTATAGACAAGAATCAAACAAAACAGGTTGTGGTGATTGGAACCAGGTGGACCTCATTGACTAAGGTCTTACATTGGGGTTATTAACCTGAGCCAAACAGGAAACCAACGGCTGACCAATATAACCAGGAGATTACAATCTCCTTGGTTCAGGGGACTGCCTCCGAGCTGGCTGCAGTGTACTGTGCAAAAGTAAGTAAAGGCTGACTTGGTGACGGGACACGGGTCTCTGTGCAGTTAGTTCAAAGCTCTATTAAGTATCAATATGGTTTAAGTACAACTATTTATGTACTTGTACTTGGGTTTACTTTCCCCAAGAGTTTTCTTATAAAAGACATCAATCTTTAAGTTATTTACTTTTGCAGTGATTGCACATAATTATGGTCACAGTATTCAGGAGAATTCTTCTCAACTCCAGTAATCAGAGGAAATCCTTTCGTTTCCATCCCTTAACTATAGATGTATTAATCTTACTTTTCAAGCTCTGCTTGCTACTTTTTTTGGCCACAAAGCCTTGAAAGGACCACAGTAGATTCTTATGCTTATTTCAAACCAGGCAATCTTCAGGATCCTGTTCCTTCAAAAATTCAAACTGAGATGAAGATTCACCTGCCTGACTTAAGTATTTAGTCTACTTACAACACAGGTGTATCTAACTGTCATCTGCAAATCACAAATACCAAAAGGCAACTAACTCTCTTAGCAAACGTACAGAAAAACTGACAGAGGACTTTCCTAAGTTCCCCACATTTCCACAGTGAAGTAGCATGCTCTGGGATGCTCTTAGATTGACCCTCATTAATTATTTCTCATTTATAATTTTTTTGATGTGATAATGTAAATAGGTTGTATGACTTTTCAGGATTTATTAAATGCTTTTAAACAAATTTAGCTCTAATTCAGCAAACAAAAACATCTTTCTAGCATGCCTTTGCTCTTGCAAGCACTGCAAATGTCATTTCTCTAGTTGCTCAATTAAGAAAGCCCACCTGTTATTTTATAGATCACTCTCTTCTTTTCCAACTATGTTTTAAAAAAAAACAAGAAACCTCCCTTGAACTGCCATTTCTTGGTATGTTCTGCCAATCTCTAAAGCCTAGCATTTTAATTACCTTTCCTTTATATCTGTAATCATCAGATGCAAAAATCACCTCAAAATTATTAACTAAAAACATGTAACATGTTCACTGGTGACACACATACCAATGTTAGGACAAAAGATAAAAATGAACATGCAACAATCAAATTAATGCTGAGCTCCAGCAGATTAATGGTATGAAAGGCTGATACTTGTCCCTCCAACTTTCCTTTCCAGCACTCAACTCCACAACCAACACGTCAAAGTGTTTGCTGAGGGAGAGAGGAAAAGGAAACAAAACAAAAATCCATTTGTTTTGGAACCATTGCTATTGTAATTGGAATCAGTTCATTTCTGGGCAACAGTACTGAGGGGGCATTACTGTCACAGCAGCCCAGTGATATGTGGACATGGGTGCAGCAGATTGCAATCAGGCCTTGAGTGCTGCAGCCAGACAGATTCAGTTTCATTCCCTTGGAAATGGGAGACTGGTATGTTGAAACAGTACAAATCACAATAGATTTGGAATTATTAATAACTCCTTAACCAAAGTGTGGCAAGAATGTGGCACTTTACAATAAGGAGTGGTTGAAACAAATAACACTGATTTGCATTTAAGGATAAGACAGACAAGCACGTGACGGAGAACAAAATAGAGGGTTATGCTGACAGATTTAGATACGATAGGAGGTGGCTGAATTGGAGCATAAATACTAGCAAAATCTGGTTAGAGAAAATAGTCTGTTTCTATGCAGATGATACTGTGTATTCCACTCACCTGGAGGATAAAATTATCAGAACATTTAGTCACTCAAGATACACTCAATCCTTATTATCTGCTCATTTGTTACCTATGGATCCACATAATTTCCAGGTTGGCCCCAGAGCTCATTCTGAATTTTTCCTACTGTCTTGTCCAGTTCTACATGCAGACTGCCGTGGTAAGCATAGCACGGTCCTTGGAGGCACATAGGAGTGGGATCTGCATTTTTTTTTTTATTATACGTGGGAAGTCCGTAACAAGAACTGGTTGGAGAGAAAGACATATTCCTTTTCATAAATCCTTTGGTGAGACTAACCAAGTGACAATAGATGTTGGTGTTAATCCAAATCAGGATGGCATCAATTACTCATGAGGTGGCAGAGGTCGGAAAGGAAAAAGTGAAAACGGATATGAATCAAACTGCTTGACTTCTTTTTTAGAAGCCTTTCCTATTGTCTAAATAATAATATAATTGTGAAAGGCAATTGGGAAAATGCACTGCACAAGAAAATACTTGAAGTGGTAATTAAATTTGTACGGAAAGAGTGTATCCTGAAGAATAAATTGTCACTGCTACAGGATAATTGATCAGGATTACACCAGGCTGAGGGTACCTATTGTTTTGAACGACAGTCACAGTGTGAAAATGAGAACCAACTTTGAATTTTAAATTGGTTAAGTGATAGAATGCTGTTGAGAGAATGCAATAATCTGACTGAATAATGGAACAGTCTCGGGAATTGTCTACTTCTGTTTATTTTGTATAGACTTGTAACAAATTTGCTTCCGCCCGAAATCACCTAAATAAGGTACGTATTAACATGCATTTATAATTTTGTAAATTAAATCCTGCATTGCAGACATGTTCCTCTCAGTTAGGATCTTTTGCATTACTGATCTGCGAAGAATATAAAATTCAAACAAAATACTAGCACCTAGCACCTCAAATAGTTGCCAGGACTTGCATTGCAACTTTCCTAAATGTTGCACAGTTAACTACTCTTCCAGCCTTAAATTTGATGCCTGCTCAATGGAAGTTGGAAGGCTGAAGATTAAAAGGGTGCCTATTAGGATGTACTGACATTGGGTCCAAGCCAAAAGTTACAGACATTCAATATCTGCAGAGTGATTGACAATGTTATAAAAGTGCTGCTCAGATTGCTGAAGAATGATCTTTTAACTTCAATGGTGGATAGAGGTTGGAATAAATTTATTTTGAGGTTCCACAAGCTGCTGTGGTTGGTGCCAAATGTACAGGCTTTCTTTCTCTAACTCGGATGAAGGAGTACCCGTTTTAGCTTCTGCTTCCAATGTGGTGGCAAAATTAAGGATGATAAGTTTTCATGAAGGATTTCTATAATCATGACAGGTCACAAAACTGCAGTTAAAGCACCTGATCAACAATACTTTTTTTTTAAAAAATTCATGTCTTGCCCCAGAAGGTCGAGGATTTTTGCAGTGTGGTTTTTGAATTATCAATTTGATTTTCTGTTCTTCTTCAGAAATATTTTCAGTACAGGGGACCATCTGTATGCAACTCGAAAGAGTGATTTGGCTGTGCTCTCTCACTAAATACTTGTGTCATCTTCTGCTTCAAAATGTTTAGGAATTTTATGCTCCCTAACTACTCATGCAACTGGAACTAAACCAATAAAAACAAAACTGACACGCTGCTCACTATATGTCAGCTTCAGATGCTACGTGCAATTCATCACCAGATGCCTCACACCTTCCTGAACCACTTTGCAACATAAAATATATTTGTTTCAACTTCAGTCTGGTGCTGCACTTTTTTGTTTTAAAGTTCAGTCATTAGTCAGTAAGGGTTGGAAACATGTTTATTCACAGGAATATGTCCAAGCTTAAATCAGTACCCTGCTAAGTAGTTGACTGGAGGAAGGAGACATATCACTCCATTCAAATTTAAACACGTCTTGTGATTTGTGCAAGATGTATTTAAATGGCTAATTTTTGCAGCGTTTGGTTTTGTTGTTGCACATTCCTAATTGCCCTTGAATTAAATAACTTGCTGGGCCATTTGAGGGTAGTGAAGAGTCAACCATACTGCAGTTGGTCTGGAGTTACATGTAGGCCAGCCCAGGTATAGATGGCAGATTTCCTTCCATAATTCTTGATTGCAGATTTATTAATTAAATGAATTTACATTACACTAGCTGTCATTAATGGATTTGAAACAGTGTGGCATGGAGCAATGGACACTGGGTCTCTAGATTACTAGCCCAGTGACATTACTGCTCCGTTGCTGTTTCTACTTTTAGAAAAAATGACATTACTTATTGTTAGTTTTTACAAAAGAGTTGCAAGTCATTTGTTAATAGTTTACTACACATAGCAAAGTGTAACAATTTGGCTGCGCTCTCTCCCTAAATATGAAAGATTGTGATGTACAAATTGACTTTTGAAATTTCTAGCAATCCTTTTAAAAGCAAGGCCCAATTTGAAGTATAAAATGTGAATCTTTGGATATGGTTGTTGCCAACTGGAAATGTGAA